TTCTTTACTGCTATACTTCCCTTTCTCCACATATGTTTCCAGCTCTTGCACTCCATTTGTCAGCCACTTTCTTGCTTCAAAAATCTTTCTGATGACCCAGCTTGCTTATTTTGGAGTCTCCATTGTTTCCAGCTTCTTCTTTTTCATATAGTGATGATGAATCCATTGTACCCACAGCTTATCCTTTTTTTGTATTATTGCCCATAGCAGTTTTCCATTTGCATTCCTGTTCCACATTTCAAAGTTCAGAATATTTAGTCCCCCTGCTGCTTTAGGCTTACAAACAGTCTCCCATGAAATAGGTGTTGATCTTCCTTCACTGCATCCTTTCCACAAAAAGTTTTTGCAAACAGTAGTCACTTTACCGTGCACTTTCTTTGGTAATATGAATACTTGAGCCCAGTACGTCTGCATTTCAAATAAGACACTTTTTATTAACTGTAATCTCCCTGCATATGACAAGTATCTAGCTGTCCAACTTTTAACTCTTTCTGTTATTCTTTCCACCAATGTCATACACTGATTTATAGTTAGCTTTTTAGATGATAGTGGCACCCCCAGGTATCTGAATGGTATTTCCCCAGTACTCAGTTTTAGCTTCTTCAGTATGTCTTCCTTCTGTTGTGCACTTATGCCTGCCACATAAAGTGAGCTCTTTTCCATATTTGCCTGTAGTCCAGAAGCAGTTGAAAACAATTCAAACTGCTTCATCATCATCTCTATAGAAACCATATCTGCTCTACAACACATTAGCAAATCATCTGCAAAGCATATGTGTATCACTTGTAGTTTTCCACAGTTGGGATGATGGCTAAAATCTGGCTTTGTGTTCAGCTGCTTCAAAGCCCTATTCAAATACTCCATCACCAACACAAATAAGTAAGGTGACATGGGGTCACCTTGTCTCAACCCCTTTCTAGCTTGGAACTTCTGAGTTAATCCCCCATTTATCAGCAGAGAATACGACACTGTACTTACACATTCCATAATAAGGTTAACCATCTTATATGGAATACCAATTTCCAACATTAAACTCCTCAAGAAGCACCAGTTAACTGAGTCATATGCCTTCTTTATGTCCACCTTAACTATACATCTAGGAGATACTGTTTTCTGATTATAACTTTTAATCAGTTCATGTGCTAACAGTACATTATCTAGAATATTTCTCCCTTCAATGAATGCTGATTGAGAAGATCCCACCAAATAGTCTACTACCAGTTTCAGCCTGTTAGTGAGTAGTTTGGCAATTATCTTGTACATTGTCGTGCAACAAGCAATTGGCCTAAACGCTCTCACATAGTTAGGCTTCAACACTTTTGGAACAAGAGTGATGGTAGTACAATTCATTTCCTTGAGCATCTTCCCTGTGTCAAAGAATTCTTCCACTGCTTTTATAACATCCTCTCCTATAACTTGCTAGTTTTCCTTAAAAAATTCAGCTGGATACCCATCAATACCTGGTGCTTTATCCTTTGGTAGTTGTTGAACCACCCTCAAGATTTCCTCCCTTGTAACAGGCTTCAGCAGCTCCTGTTGTTGAGCTAGAGTCAGACATGGCCCATCTCTAGCAATATTGATGTCAATCCCCTGTGCCACATTGTTAGCTTCTCCTAGCAGCTTTTGAAAAAAGCTAACAAATTCCTTCTGTATTTGCTCTGGGTCTGTTACCCTCTGGTTCTGTTCTGTACATATTGAACTCACATTGTTCTTAGCTTGCCTTACTTTCAATTGTGCATGAAAGTATTTTGTATTTGAGTCTCCATGTTTTATCCAGATTACCTTAGATTTCTGCCTTAGGATTTTCTCATACACTGCATCCCACTCCTCCAGTTGCTTTATAGTCTCCTTTTCTTGTTCAATAAGTGCTGGATTCAGATGGTCCTTATTCAGTTTATTCTGAGTCTCTTTGAGTTGTTCTTTCAACTGTTTTATCTTCATTTCAACTGAGGAATATTTATTTTGCAAGCTTCTTGTCTGAATCTCCAACATCTTCAGCTTCCTGTAAATTGAATACATAGTATACCCCTGAACGTTTTGCTTCCATATGTTGCATACTGCTTCCTTGTACTCTTCTTGTTCCATCAATACATTCATCAATCTGTAAGGCCTTTGCAATTTCATTCTTTTCACTTCAGTATCTAACACCACAGGTGTATGATCAGAACACCCTGGTGCTAGATATATTGCCTCAATACCTGCATACTTTTCAAACCAATCTTCATTCCCCAAAGCCTAATCAATGTGACTGTATATTCTATCTTCAGCCCCTCTTTTGTTGCTCCAAGAGTACTGGAACCCTCTTTTGTTGCTCCTATGTCATTTGTTTTGGAACAACTAAAAAGGAAAGTACCTCATCTAATATGAAACAGAGGGAGTATAAATTATTTAAAAAATATATAT